TTTATGACCCTATTTTTTGTTTTACTTGTAAAAAGAAAGACTATTGAAGACAAGTACTACAGCACATTAAAACAAACATAAATTGAAGAAACATAATATAGAGCAATACAGATGACAACACCCTCCCACCACTCACCTCCATATATATCAGAAAATAATCAAATAATAATTTCCTAATATGAGATGCAAAACATTCTAACCTATTACAGGAGGATGAGAATGGCCACACATGGTCAGCGTTAACACCGAGCATGGTGCATCATAAAGGGAGCATCTACTGTGTAAGATTTTACAAGTGTTGCGTTTGTCTCAACAAAAACGTCCCAACAAAAACGTCCCACTACCACCATCCAACCCCCCCTTTTTTCCCATCTTGTTGGATAAGCACTGACATACAAAAAAACATTAATTTCTATGAAAACCTAAACACATGGTTTGATGTCCATCGCTCACCTGCAAACTGATGATGTCTGCATTGCAGCCCAGGATCTCCTGAATGATGGATTTCTTCCTGTACTCCCAGTTTAGAGCCCAAGAGGGGCAGTAGCCATATAGCTGTCGTGTGGCGTACTTATCACACAGCACATTGTAGCACATCACAGAGAACAGTGCTGAGGGGAGAAACACACACACACACACACACACACACACACACACAAAAAAAAGGTATATCTTAAAAATGTTAAAGAAGCTGACCCTCAGATATTTTCATGGTGGGGTGGGGACATTGCCACACTTGTATTAAGATGTATGTAAGATTAAATATTAAATGAAAGGGTAAACTCACCACTTTAAACCTAAAATCAAAATTTGGGCAACACACTAAACAGATTGACACCATCCAAAAAGATTGTATTTTTTACCATTTCTACTAAAATTCCACATTGACGTACGGGTGCAATCATATGCATTTTTCAACAGCACAGAGCACTGAGTCAGTCAAAACAAGTTATGACCACCCCCAACAGGGTCAATCAACATGAATGCCTGGGAAACAGTAGAATACTCGTGTTTGCGTGAGATCTACTTTTTGCAAAAAATGTTTGATAAGTTAGTTTTGCTAGTTTTTAACCACAGGAAGTCGGCATACATTACATTGCAAGTGTCCGTAGTATTGCTTTTGGGTCAAGTACTCCCACTACTAGCGCAAAACCGAAATTTGGATCCTTGCTACTCTTAAGTTGCACATGGATGCAATTAAAAAAAAATTGTCTTTTCGGGTTGTAAATTTTCCTCCAAAAACAGTTAAATGTGGTTGACCATCAATTTTTATGGATACAAGCTGGTTTTATGGAACAGCTGTGTATTACAAGGAAGACTACTACGAGTATGTGCATTATCACCATCTTGTTGATGCTGTTTACATTCCCTCAGACGCAAATGTAAAAAATGCACTGTAGAATTATTTCCTGGGTCTACACAGGTATGAATATATGTATACATATCTGTATATTATTTTATTTTGTTCTAATGTATTATTCCTTTAATCCAAATGTAATTATCTGTTATGCTCTATGTGTGCATAGCGTGAAGGAATTACAACTTTCATTTCTTTGTGCACTCGTGTTATACAATGACAAATTATCTTGAACCTTGATGTGCTCAAGGTCACGTTTTGTGTATGTTGTCCTTACCTGAGGCCCGTGTTCGGTCTGGTTCCTGGAGTGAGATCCATGACCGAGCTGGAGGCTGCTCTGTTGGTACTGAGCAGAGAGAGGGGAAAAAGTGGTACAATATGGGTAAAGACACAAACAAACAAACAAAAATACTTCAACAAAGCTAAGGGCACTTATGCTGTAGTTCACAATGTCCCAATCTATGTACCCTGTCGAAGCCATCTTTTGGGGAAATGTGCAATTCCTGTTCCAGTCTCAAAACTACCAGAGAAGGGGGACTCACTGCGCTTGATAGCCCCTGCCAGATTGTCTAACAAGTAGTTGAGCAGTCTCCGCGTGCCATCAGGTTCCTGGTAGAGGCTCATAATTTCTTGTGCAAGTGGGTTTCCTGGTGAAGGAAGAGCAACGCGGGCTGAATCATTGCTAAGAAAACAATGGGATTTCAAGGCTGGAATGGCTACAAAACACATTGATAGCCCACTCACCTTTCAACCCCAGTGTTTGTAACTGAAACAGTTTCCCCAATTCAAATGGCAGAATCCGCAACTGGTTGTTATTTAAAAGCAGTTCCCTGTGGACATAGGGGAATTTTAATATTAGAAACCAGCTGTCCTGAGAAACCACTAAGGCTGTGCGATATGACAATACATTGTGTGACATTAAAAAAAATGTCTAGCGTTTCACATGTTATGTCATAAATCACACTGCCAATATTTTTTGTCACTGGGACATCGCTTTGTGTTCTTCCGCAATTTCCATGAAGGCAACATAAACAAACATGTCAACATGAGTATGAATGTGACACAGAACGGGGTAATTGTGAACAGAAGGTGGACAAAATGAGCCGCTTGTACTCTTACTTACATTCATTTTATATAAACTATTTATTTATTTAGTGAATTTACAGAAAATTTCCTATATCATGATATGCATTGTTATCTTTATATGAAATAGATATCCACATTTAATTCATTGCTGAATGTCTGTGGCAAAGCCTGAAACAAAATGGCAGATATCCAACAGATCTATAATTAAATGAAAAACTCATATTGTCATAATGAGTGGCAGCAGTGCGTAGCATGTGTGAGTGCCCTGTGACAGCAACTTCTTTCCATTATGTTCAAATCCAGGAGTGAACATACAACCTGAAACTACTCACCTGAGAGACACCATGTTACCGAGCTCTGCCGGCAGGCTCCTGATCTTATTGGATGAGAGATCCAGGTACACCAGGTTGTGTAGTTTGGCAATGTCTGGCGGGATGCGTGACAATGAGTTGTCACTGAGGTGCAGGGCAGTGAGGTGGGTCAGAGACCATAGGGCTGTGCTGAGACTCCTTACTCGGCCTGCGGAAACAATGGGAAAAGGACAAACACACAGCAGAATTAAGTCCCAGTAACCAACAAAGGAAAAACATTGGAATGAATTTCCCCGGAAAAGCCCAGTGTGAGATTCACCGGTCCCAGCATCTATTATGTTTAAAATGTGGATATATGCTGATAGTCTTTCTTTTGTATGATAACGAATTGAACATCTTTCGGATGAATAAAACAAGAAATCTGAAGATAGACATTTAACACTACTTCCTGACAATTTAATATGCCCAGCAATCTGCCAGCAGATTAATTGATAAAGAAGATAATTCTTAGCAGCAGCCCAGTAGCGTGACATGAAAGGTGGACATACACAGAAAAATCCCATAATATAGGATAAAACTGTTTTATATAAATAAGCTCTATGAAAACAACAAAAAAGGTACAAATTCAATCCAACTACTTAACCTACAACTCTCCCTGACAAGACTCACCACTGATTTCCAGCTCTGCCCAGTATGACTTCTTCCCGTTTGCTGCTTCCTCGGTCGACATAATTGTGTACATCCGCCTGGGATCCGGCGGGTCATATTTTTCCTTGGGCATTCCTATAACACTACAGAGGATAATTTAATGTTTAAATGTCATTCATACACAGAGTAAAAGCAAATAGTTCATTTTAGCCTGAAGCTAAAGCTGAAATATTCTGAATTGGTTTAGGTTGACAGGTAAGCACATTTTCACTGAGGATTTTAGTGAGCCAAGTTACCAAAATATATTTAAACATTACCAACCAAAAGAGCACGTTTTTAAACCAAGTTATAGTTCTACTAACACGTTGCTGTCGGCAATATTATTAACATTTAAACAGGTTCCTAAGAAAGCTGTGATTTGACTGGAGTTACATAATAATCTACATTAAAATGAGCAACGTGGTGCAATATTTTTTTTACGCTAAACTTGGCTGTTAGCAACTGTGTAAAGCTTAATTTTGTTAAGAGTTAAAAACGAATATTTTTTTTAAATGAGCACAAATAACCAACGCTAACGAAGATTAGAGGCTTTTTTTCCTCCCTCTCACTGTCGCTAGCTGATTAGCCTAGCTTAACCTAAATAGGTAGCTATCAAACTATACATAACAAACGCTAAATAGCTAATGCTAGCTCGCTCATGCTAACTATCAAGATGAAAAACGGACACGCCAAGTTAGTGACATTGAGGAATTGGCTGACTTTAACGCCCTGCCCGAGTGGGTTAGCACAAAAGCTACAACACGATACTGAAAGATACTGTACAAATTGTTGTTTACATAATAGCAAAGCACTGACTTGCGCATTAACACAAGGCCACGGAACCGCGCATTAGTTAGCTGTCAGCTAGCCTCCAGTGGCGAGGATCGCTGTCGGGGCGATAAACAGGGAGCAAAACGAGCTTCACACGGCTACACAACGCTTTGGGTTTGCAAGCAATTGCGAGCTATTTAGCTTAGCTTGAGTTAGCTCGCTGGCTAAAAGCTAACAGATCCCAATTATTCGAAGCTGACCGACTTCCTATTCAAAGAAGTCCAACGTCGGAAAATGGCCACGGCGCTTTAAACATCTCAGTAGCATTGCGGTGAAACGAGTGAAAACAGTTCAGGTCTAAAAGAAAGGATTCCGTTTTTACCTGCAAGAGCATACCAAATCTCGAGGACGACTGCGTGTTCTCTTTTGTTTTCTAGCTACTTCTCGCCCGTTTCCGCTGCTGTATCATGGCGACTGTAAGGATTTTTTTTTTTTCTCTCTGCCGATAACGGCGCTTGATCCTATTGGTCGGCGCGTTGACGGTCCAACCAGCTGTTGAGCCAGAGTAAATAAAATCCTTAAGTGATGAGTGATGGACCGTGAGATGGATGGACAGGACACCACAGATCAATTTAGCTGTGGCTTATTAAGAAATTATACATAGCAATTTGTCAATAGCTGTGTACAAAGTAATGATGTAATGGTGGTATGTGCTTAAAAACAAACTGATACATGTTTTATGCTGGTTAGAAGACATAATTAATTAAGTGAAGCCAGGTGTTAACACATTTTAACTTTGAAATAGCCATCAAGGCACTGCCTTTATTTAAAACACAAAAAATTGCACAAGTCAACAATCAGCTCATACAAAATATAAATATTAAATTAACACAACAAAGAGTTTTGGGTTTTTTTTTTAATTCAACACTGACAGACATCTAGCAGGTGGTCCTGTAGATAAGTGAGGGATTCTTCCACATGGAGGGGTAAGGCTTGGCCAAGGTCAGCCTGGGATCTGGACAAGAAGGACTCCACAGCTTCACGAACGACGGGCTTGGACACCATATCATCCCGCTTGTAGACCAAGGTGCCAACTCTGCCTCTTTGTTCCGAGACTGAGCTGCACAGGTAGCCTGGATGTAACAGATGGAAAGACGTTAGGAGTAAACCAAAGTGAGTTTAGGAAAGGAAAGAAATGTCACTTATTGTTGAAATGTTTTAATATTGAGGTATATGATGTAACAGGTATCAAACAGCTAATATAACTTATGTCTTAGAGGCACTCAGGGTTTAAATTCCAGCGACTATCACAGATGTACTTTCAATTTAATGACAACACAAAAATCTAAATACAGGCGACCTCAACACATAAAAAATAAGCACAGGAATGTTTTAAAAAGTTATTATATTTTGTATCACTCCAATTTGGCGCATTGTACAACATAAAGAAAATTATTTATGAGACTACATCACAACAGATGAGGCAAAGACAGAAATACACTAGTGGGGAAATAATCCTGGTAAATAGAGTAAAGGGAATAACATTTGACTAGTTAATCAGGATAATCCAGCTCTTTCTTCACTTCAGCTTCACCCTCTTTTCTTTCTCTGCTGTACAAAAAACAAGTATGGCAATAAAACAGTTCAGTACAATCCCATATGGTATCACACCACATATTGCACATTCACTGGAGTCTGAGGTTTCCCACAGGCTCCGAGCACTGTCTGCTTCCTGGCAGCAGGACAGTGAAGAGCTGGCCTAGTCTCTGAAGACGTTGGTTTTGATTCTTAAATCACCTGACTCACCATATTATTTTAGTATTTGTTGAATGACAAATATATTGCTTCATCATTCTAAGACAAACTCCCATCATCACTAACAAATATTATGTTCTGTTTAATTTAATATTTCCTCATTATAGCTGCGATTACTGCAGCACAGTACACTGGTATTTACCAACATCTCACCTTTCATGGCTTTGTTGTAGCTAAGCAGCAACATCCAGAGGAGATGGACCAACTCTTCCCACCTCTGCCACCTTTCAGTACCATCCTGAAGAATACAGTCATGGATCAGTTGCATTGAACGTTTGATCGTTGTGGCTAACTTAATTAAAGATATCTACTTGAAAAACTATCCCAAATTCCAAATAGGAAAACTTTAATTTCAAAATCTTTTTCTAGCAAATGTATCCATACATTACAATCAGATGTGTTTAAAAGAAGGTTGGCTGATTAGTTAAAGACGAAAACAAGATACAAGAGTGATATTCACCGTAGGATCTGGTGCCAGAGTGCAGTTCTTCATAAAGTGAAGCAGAAGACTGAGCGACATGGGCAGAGAGATTTTCTGTGGGCATGCATAGTCCAACAGATGTTCTAACAGCTTACATCTCAGCAGCTTGCTCTGCAGGCTCTCCAGCAACAACATCCTGGGTGTCAGAAACACATTAGTCAGTGATAGCTTCGAAAACTGGGGAAAAGAGGCATATTTGGTTTGTGTGTTAATATAAATAAAAAATGAATTTTGCTTTCTCATTAATTAATAAATCAATATTTCAAAAGTATTTTTTGTTTCTCCATTTGTGAATGTGTCCTGTTACGATATACATTTTAAAACTAATCTGTAGAATTTAAAGATCATTTTGCGACTATTTAAAATGTATTCATCATTTAAAGAAATAATAATGGCACTGGCAGTCAATGCTTTGTGAGTATTCCTTGTACATTAAAGAAAATAATTTCTCCTTCTCACACTTGAATCTTATTGGATATAAAAAGGTTCTTCTCCTGCCTCCTTCACTCGTCTCATATCTCGTTCTCACCTGTGTGCTCGTAGAGGTATGTTGCCGATGAGCATATGAAAGAGCTCCTGGGACAGCTTGGCAGAGGTTAGAGCTGGAGAACGGTCCACCTCCAGAGCCAAAGACAACATCCTCTGAAAGATGGACACCATTCTGCAGGGGAGAAAGGGACAACAACATGAATGTGGAAAAGACAGGCATAGATACAGGCATAATGATATAACATGCATATAAATCTGAGTACGGTTGCATTCTTGTTGCTCTCTTCCACCCAAGTTAATGACCCGTTATTAAAAAATATGAACTCTTTCTTTTTAATTCACCTAATTTGTTCATCTCTCTCTCTGGCTGCTTCTCTACACTCTCTGTGCTCTGTTGATTTCACAATGGCAGAAAAGAGCCACTTGATGACATCCCTGGAAAACAAACAAAAAAAACCTTTTAAAATAAATAATAATAAATTAAAAAAAAATTTCATAATGCAGTTTCATTTACACAAAGGGGTTTGGCAAACATCCAGTAACATGCAAGATCAACAGAAAAGAGCAGTGTATTCATATAGGATGCCACTGTTAAGACATACTGTTAAATCACAAAACTCCAGCTTCCAAACAGTTTCAACAAAACATGTAAATTATCATGGTAATGTAACGGCAATGAAACTGACCAACCCTCTAATCTTGCTTTACAATACAGACCGCTGTTTACCAAACTCACCTGACGCGTGGGAACTGCTGATCACATGACAATGTTGTCTTGGCGATGGAGTGGTGGAGGGCAGAGGAAGAAAGTTTGGCCTGGAAGTCATCTTCCAAAGTCTGCACAACGTACTCCAGGAGCATGCGCACAACCTCACATCGATGTCTCTTTGTATGGTCCAACAGGTGCACAGGTAGAGACATGTCAGTTTATTAAAATGTTCAACTATAAATGTGTCTGCACAAAGTCTGCAAAGTTTCTGTGATTTCATAATATTACAATCAAAATCCCATTCAATATGGTCTGGCTCAACAACGCTGATGGTACTGTATATTTATTTATCACCAAGCTTTACTGTGTATTCACATTTTGCTGCCTGGAGTAATACCTGATTGGCCACGACTGAGGTCAACAGCTCCCAGTCCCACGGAGCTGTGTTTTTATCTGCCATATGGTGTCTGAAATCAGAAAGAAACTCTAATCTCTGAACTGAATGATGGAAAGGGGTGAGACAAGATAAAAGAGAGCCCAAAAAGGACAGATAAAGACTTTACATTGGAAGGGCTACAAATAATACACTACAATCAACTCTTATTCCTATGGTTCCCTTACCTCTGAGTCCTGATCAGCAGATTAAAGGCCTGCACACACAGGTGATAAGGACACTGTGGTTCGAGCAGAATGCCACGTAGCAGGTGGAAAGTGATATCTCTGGGGGGATAGTAACCAGGCTGTAGTAGGTCAGACAAGAGCTGCAAAGTACCTTCTGGGTAATTCTCATCAATGGTACTGTAAACCAGGCTCAGGCTCTGACGGCATAGTACCTCTGGAGTTCCAAAACCTTCGTCTTCCTCTTCAATCTTCAGAAAAAAAAAAAACATAAAAAAAAGAAAAGAAATGCTGTACTTTTAAGCCTAGAATGTAATCACACGTAAGCAGTTAATGGCAGCAACAGAAAAATACAAATGTAAACATCTGCAGAATTGTCTCTCACCAAGGCTTGAGCTGGTCCAGACATTATTTTCCTGAGTGTAACTGGGCACACAAAATGCCTGTCCTCTCGACTGGCTTCCCTAAAGTTCATATCAAATCTGCTCTCTTCGTTCACTTCTTCTCCATCACTTTCCTGTTGCCAAAGAAAAGACACTGGACTGTCCATTCCCATATCCCCTCTATATGTCCCAGCCCCAGATCTGTCATCCATGTCCTCAGTTTTAGACACTGACAAAGGAGATTCACTAAGGACGGTACAGTGCAAGAGGTCTGGGCTGTTTGAAGCCTCATCAGCCTTAGCATCCTCTGACTGCCCTTCAGGCGTATTCTCAGCTAATGTATCTTCAGAAGTGGGTGTTGGCTCGACTTGGCTCATATGGGTATGAGATATGGGACTTGTGTGGGACGGAGAGTCGAAGTCAAAAGGCTCAGAGGGGTTCAGTTCAGTGGTAGGACAGTGGGCAGAGGAGTGATCAGAAGGACAGCTTTGTCTCAAGTCTGCTTGGTCTAACTCGAGTTGTTCCAAGTTGACTTCTCTTTGGGGGGAACCCTGTGCTTTATTTTGAGATGAAGGGGATGATGGAGAGGTGATGAGCATGGATGAGCAAAAGTCATTCCTCTCATCTTCATGACTGATGTGCTCCTTTGAGGCTGCAACTGAGCTCCCTTTATCCAAGCAGGGAGAGTTAGCTGGGCTCTCCAGATGCTGAGTTTTTTTATCATTTAACAGTACTATGCTTGTAATTTCATTCCCGTTCTCTAGTTGTTCCTGTCTGACAAGTGATTCAATCACCTTAGGAGGAGATTCATCCAGTGAAGGCTCCATGTGAGTACCATTTGATGGGGTAGTTGTCCTCAAATTATTATTAAGGCATTCTGGTGCTTTAACTTTACTGTCTAGTTGCCTGGGATGCAGTGACATTTGAGTAGAATCTTTGGCTAAGTAGACAGACCATCTTGACGTTTTCAGTTCTGTGACATGAGTTTCGAGAAAAGACAATCGTCTTAATTTCACAGTTGGTGTGTAATGTTGTGTTTCATCAGTCTGCTTTTGGTCCGGTGTTGGAGAATCCAAATGGCTCCGCTTTAGTGCAAATAGAGGTGGGTCTTTTGAAGAGCTTTTAAAATCTTGGTCGCATGAAGTTTGACTTTTACTTGTAGTTTCTTCTTTTATTTGACAGTCATCCGGTGGCAAATTCTCGGTCTCCTGTTCTGTCACATTTGCTACGTCGCTCTCGGTTAAGTCTACCAATGCCGTGGTAGTGGAAGTTAGTCTTTTACGCAACTTCAGCTCTGGAAGAGTCCATCTTGGATCTGTGAGGTCAATAAAACGCTAAAAAAAAAAAAAAAAAAAAAATGGAGAAATAAATAGAAAAATAAGTCAATAAATGCTGTGGTTTTAGTTGACATAATTACAGAGAAGAATATAGTGTCTGATTCTCTCAAAAGCAAGGAATTGGAAAACTCCAAAATGTCAGTATGAACACATTTCTACAAACCTATTGAAAATGAATAATTATTTTGTCTGTCAAATTATTTTGAGCCATCAATATTAGAGTATTTTATGTTGCACTGTATGTATGTGGAACTTTATAATAAATGGAGAAAATCTAATCTGCACTTTCTTCATAGTTAATGTGACTCTGCTTTATGATTATTGCAATGTGTCAAATCCTTAATCTTACACAAACTAGCATCATTCTATTTAAATGGCCCATGGCACACATGAAAGCCATGTTTCTGATCCAAGTTAACTGAGTGGCTTTAATAGCTCCCTTGTGATACTTTTATAGGTAGCCGTAAAAGAACAGCAACCTCCTTTTTTCAAAGAATCAAGTACATTTTACAACAAAAGGTTGTATAACGAAATAAAAGTTTGCAGTTCCCTCATGCTACACACATTAAAGAGGCAAAAAGATAATTAAAATAAACTAATACATACAGTTATTTACATACATACATGCATACATGTATACACCCAGGAATTCATCTTGCAGTGCATCTTTTGAATTTGCATCTTTGGGGTTATGTAAACCGGAGCACTAAGATAGAGATGATTATATGGTTTTATCTGCACATAAAAAGGAACCGTGTCCATCCACACAGCCCCAAGCCTCACTGATGTAGACACAGAGTCTGCCTCCTCTCGTCCTGCACTCTGTCAGCTCAGAACATGTCTTCTGTCTTGGCCAATGTGGTAAAAGTAAAAGAAGTTGTCAACCTGATATACTTTAAAGGACCTTCCATTATAACACATACACAGCTGTCAACTGTCAAAGATTTTACCATGTCCTTTTTATGCAGCTTTTATTTTTATATCTCAGGCCGTATTAAGCCATTCATTCCCAGAGACTGGGTTGTGACCCAAACGTGGGTCACAGGAGATTTTATTTGGGTCAAGAATAAATTTGCAGAATTTATTCTTCCTGCTAAAAGCACAATTTTGTCTCATTTATAGTATTTAAAATGTGTACATTGTTGTTGAGAGAAAATCAAAACAATTAGGTGGCCTGATACAGTAACTCAGCCTAAATGCATTCATTAGGTGTTATTTATAAAGTATTTAACTTGTGTTTTCAATAACACATTCATAAAACCAAGTGATTAATTAAACATGTATCTCTTTAAATGGCTGCTTTACCTGTTCATAAAAATATGACATGATTAATAAAACAGAAAGTAAAAATGCTGAGGAATGTTTATTTATGGATAAATGTGCTCCTCTCACTGTGAACTGGGTCACCATGGTTTTGTTGTTTTTTAAAAAGTGGGTCCCCAGACAAAAAGTTTGGGAAATACTGTGTATAAGACAATTGTGAACAATGTTGCAAATCAATGTGCAGGACTGCTTTACAGCAACATATTAATGTTTATATGAATTTTGGATTAATATTAGTAAGACATCTGATGTTGATGGATTAAATTTACAGCCAAATGAGACATTTCTCTGTGTTCATTTAATCTATGAACAATTCAAAAATAGATTTACCATCATAATATAACGTTATATCAGTATTTCAACATCAACAATTCAGTGGTATATATAGATATGTATACTTATCAACTTTTACTTACCGGCGATATAGCTAATATTAACAATGAAAGTATGAAAAACAATATTAAAAATGTTTAGCAGCACAAACTATAGCAAACATATGAATATAAAGTTACATAATGACTAATGGGCACATTACTTATCAAAGGTGAAGATTTATGCTCGCCAGGTATGGCATATATATAAAGTTATATATTAATTTTGTTAAATTAAAGTTGTGACAAGCTCAATAACATATTTCCTATACTTCTGTCAGTGAAAAACTACTCCTGATATTAGCTCTAAAGCTTATATATAACGTTATATACACACTGTAAAAGCTGTAAACCTCACCTTAACGAGCCGGCACAAATTGAGATTTAACGTTAGCTACCGTAAAGTCTCTGTATTTGAAGTTTAGCTAACATTAACATGGCTGAGGGCGGCGCTAGTGAGCAGACTGTCGTTAACTACCTGTGAAGCCTGTTTTTGTTCCCTTTTCTCGCTGTCAGGTCGTTAACTAACTTAACTAATATCTGCGACGTCTTCTTTGAGCTTTTAATGGCGGTCGGCAAACCTGCTGGTAGTTAAGGGCTAATTAGCGAGCGTCGTTAGTCAGCTTACCGTTGGGACGTTGACGTTCACTGCGTCAACGTCAACTCGCACTGCCGAGAGCGGCAGCGGGTCAGCCTTGATCATGATGTTGCTGTAGGAACCGACTATTTCCACATCAGAATCGTCTTTATCACTGTCAGAGCTCAGGGTGATCACATCCATTTCCCCCACACTCATTCAACCTCATACGAGACAGAAACTTCAGCCGCTAATGTAAAAAAACAAAACAAAACAAAACAAAAACAACCAGTAAGCCAGCTCACTAAAGCGTCCCCCGAAGCGGACCCATGATAGTCGCCGCTCGCCACAGTCCTGAAGAAGAAGGAGCTAACGTTAACGTGTCGTCCCCCATCGTGTTGTGTAGGAAAGACCAGATAACTCCCCTCGTAAGACATGTAACCTTACGACCTGTGGCGTTTCCCTGTTAAGATCGACAGCGTTTACATGCGTCTGATGTTGCCCGGCGGGTTTGAATTGGATTGTATCTTCATAATTCACGGGACGCCGAAAGTTAACTCACTTAACTAAGCTACCGTGAAAACTAAACTACATCCAAAATATCAAATCCAACAACAAGACGTCCATATGGTTGGTTCAACTGTGTAACTGACACATCTGAAATGTTGAGGCTTCCTGGTTTTTGTTGTCATGTTTCTTCTGCAGTAAGGCGGATGACAACTAACCGTGCAAGTTGTGAATATCTCCACCTGCTGTACTGGAGTCTGTATGTTACTGTCAGTGAGTCTAAGTCTAAACCTACAGTTCATACACAGTTTTATCATCATTAATTATGACAGGGGGAAGCAACTAATAAACAAGGATCCACGTTTTTGTTTTTGTTTTTTGGTGAAATAAAGGTCAGCAGCATAACATCAGTTTGTTTATTTCGCCTCATCAAACAAAATTTTAATCTAACTTATAGTTTCAGTCTATATTTTTACCCCTGGTCATCCACACACTCCTGCTGTGGCTCTATATGCAACAGCACTGAGAACCACTGCATTAAAATAAGAGCCATAACGAGCCTCCGATCTATATAGGCTATAATTATGTTTTATTAGTGAACGGTGAAACACTTAACAAGAAAATATCTGCTGTGGAGAAAAAAAAGGTTTAGAAAGGCCTTTTACAACATTTAGACAGTTTGACAGAAATGCAAATTAATAAGTTTTATTGAAAAAATTTATTAAAACTTATTTTCTTTCTGTTTTTTGTTTGACAATTTTGTTACAATAACAGCTGCTTGTTTTGTTTGCTCTAGTCAGTGTGGTTTAACACCAGTCTCTGTATCAGATAAGTGAATTGTCTCACTATCTCAAGTCAGATCAACCACATTAAACCTAAAACACCAGATGCAGTTCATGTATGCCATAGTCCTAATTTTCAATCAAAAATAAATATAAAATCTTTCCTATCTACAGTAGGTTTTGTGACTTTGTGTAATGTCACAAATCACCACTGGAGTGCACTCGTGTTGTGCAGAAAGATTCTGAAATTTGTCAAAAGTCGATGCACAGAGGACAGTTTGCAGCAGTCAAACATTGTGAATAGAAATTTCTATAAAAAATGAGCCTGACAAAGCTCCTGACAGCAGGAACAGTTGAGTTTTTATTCACCTTTTTAAGCTTTTGTAAACTTAGCTGTATTTTACATTATTTTTTGTTTGCAAAGGAGCTGTCTGTTGTGCTTCTGTTGATAATAAGTAACACACTTTATCCAAACATGCACTGCAGCCCTAATGCTTCCTCTGTTTCCCCTCTTACTTCTCTGGCCCTGGGGATGCATTTCTGATACTCACTGGACATGAAAAAGTGCCTTACAAGCCCTTGTTTTATAATGATATGAACACAGGGTCGGGATCAGGGTCGAGGTAGGCTGCAGGAAACAGATGTAATGCATTTCTGTATTTGTAAGCCAGCCACAGAATGACACATTAAACCCAAAGCTACGTGGTATTTTACAGCTTACTTCCCTGTTATATACACAGATGATAGCTGTGAGTGTTTTCATGGTGCGTACCATAATTAAAAGCTGCTTCCTTTTGATGGGCAGCTGTAACACATATACGCACACTGGTGCATTGAGTTGATAAGAAAACTGTAATTGTGATAAGCACATTGCTTAAGCTGTAGGAAATGTGCATACTGAACTGTTGCCAGCTTACAACCTTGTTTATAATGTTGCATCATTTTTGTGTAAAGCACGATATCTGTGCAAAATAAAAATAAAAGAATTCTGTTTGTTTGTTTCTAAATACATCTGTTGTGGACAGGAGATATTCCAGGAAAACAAATATTCTCCAACTTGTGCTTGTTTTCCAAAGAAATATGAATTTTGATACTACATTGTCATGTAATTGGATGAAAGGAGCTATTAACCTCAGATGCCTCCTACCATTACACCCTGTGAGGAATATCTGGCAGGATGAGTCATCGTAACCAGACATACGCAACCCTTCTGACACCTATTCAGCAATGTGAAGACTTTATTAGGATAGTTATGGAGAGAAAGAAATAATGTGTCTGTGTTAGTGGTAAAGGCTGTGCACAACAAGTGTCTTCTGTGCCTTGGAAATCATTCTTACCTGTATTCAGTGTCATTACGTGATCAGTTCGGGAGCGCACATTTTGCTTCAGTTTGAAACAGACTATGCTATAAATGTCTGATAAAAGCAAGTTATTGTACTGTCTGTTTAATAACGGCGGTCTATATTGTTGCAGTTCATTAGTTCTTAGAACACAAATATTGTCACAAAGTCAAACCTAAATCAGCTGGAAAATGTGGTCCAAGTTCAATTAGACAGAGTGGGAGAGCTATAAAGATGTTTGAAATCCCAGATGAACCTCCAAATACTCTGCTGCCCATACATGGACACAGATTAAGGCTGAAATACTTTATCAGCAACAGAGCATGTGGTTTCCTGTTTTAAAAGGTGAACTAAAGCATGTCTGTACTCATTAGTAGTGACTTGCATTGGGAACCAGTTAGGTCTGATATGAGGCCAGCTGGCTTTAGATGGACACGTTTGAGGAGATCTGTAAATAGCTCTTACTTTACAAAGCAGGCTGTGACATCAACATTCATCATTTGGAATTTAATTGACTAACTAAATTTTGTAATAACTGTCTACTGTTTGACTACTGTCTGCATGTATATTATAAATGTAAAGATACATTTATGGGAAATATAATGTGAAAATAACAATTTGTGGTTTTGGGAGGGTTGTGTGTGGCACTATATTAGCTTTCTGGTGTCTCCCATGGATGCTGGTAACCTCATGACAAGACTCTAGGAGGTTACTGTACCTGCCAAAAAATATTTAAATACGTATATATATAGATACGTATAGTGAGCTTCAGAGATGCTGGTTGGCTTTGGGTAGAGCTAGGCTAGCTGTTTCCCCATGTTTCCAGTCTTTGTGCTAAACAAAGCTAAACTTCTTTTGGCTGTAATGTATGTTATAGACAAATATGTAAGTAATATCAATCATTTAATCCCATTTTTGGCTAGAGAGCAAATCAGCTTGTTTCCTAAAACTATGCCATTGTACTTTCTCGTGCAACATTCTTTTGTGAAGGACTGACCCATGAGACTCAGTCTGACGTACTTATTGCAGCTTGCTGTCTGTTAGTTGAGTACAATGCACATATCGGCAATCAACAAACTCCTCAGTCAAACTTTCAGGCTTTACCAGCTGTCTGACACAACATGCTCTCCTTAATTTAAATCCACCATATGTGAAAATTATAGTTTTCCTTGAGATGCACTAATAACAGAAAAAAGAAAACAAATGTAATTTTCATATTGTCCTTTGCTTTGGGCTGCGTCAGCATAGATTCTCACAGAATATGGAGGCCCACAAGGACACTCACCTGAGACAGGCCTGCAAAGCATGCTGGGAGAAGTTATTATCTTCACTGTTGCAATGGAAACATTATAACCCCACAAAGTTTATTTCCAAAAGTTTTGAGAAGAAGTCTTATCTTAAAGTTCCAGACATTTTTAAACAGCAGAATCAGTAAATGAATTGAGTTCATGCCTTAAAGCATTAAAACTGACTGATAGAGAAGCATACCGTATATAATTTGTTTCACAGAAGAATGTAAAATAAATGTGATAAACAATTGAAGTTTTTGGTGGCGCATAGGATATAAAAAAATACCATTATTCAGCAACAAGCCTAAGCAGAAAAGGCAGATAACAGCAATAGATTCACCAGTCAGCATAAGGACAAGTAGTTTCAGTTTCAGTAAGACAACTATCTGTGTGAACTGAAGACTCTTAACTGTGTTTATCCCTTCCTGTCCCAGCCAGACAGTCTAGGCGCCCTGTGACACTGATAGATGAGTTAGCCAACACTCTCCACTGCACTAGGTCATGGGTCACATCTGCTGTCTTATCACATTTAAGGGAGAACGAATAACATTTGAAGAAAGAATTGGAGAGCAAATATCTTCTGAGGGAAATCCACAGTCTCAGAAAAACACTGCTGTAATTGTTGAGTGTCGTTAACACCTTGTGGCAGACTGCTAGACAAATCTTGCATATGCATAACTCCTCAAAAAGCTATAATTTGGCATCAAATATTGTAGGAACCGAACACTCTTGGAACAGAGTGACAGTAGTTTTCAAGAGAGGAATAATGTTTTAAATGGATTAATAGGTCATAATACACAAGACTTGTACTGATATTCAAAAATAATAGAGAGAAAACTGAAAACAGGCTGTCTTTAACAGTGGTGGGAGAAGTACATAGCGTTATTGTGATATTATCAGCTAAATGAAACTAAAGTAAAAGCAGGTGCTCCACAGAAAAACAACCCTTGTGACTGATGTATTATTAGATTTTACATTGTTTAATATGGATCCATGAAAGTGTAAGCAGCATTTGGTTCCCATTTTAGGAGGAAGACTGTGAGAATGTTGTGCCTTAAACTGTTATTTTGATTAAACCATCTGAGAAGTTTTAGAGGGAAACTCATTATTTGGATACCATGTAAATGGATGTGCTCATGACTCACAAAATCCATTATTATTTACATGTGATGATAATGGTCAGACTTCATCCAGTTAGCTGGCTTGTTTTGCCAGAGTCACAGTAGTTTTTGGACATGGATGCCGGTGGGTAGTGCATTCCTGTGGTCTTGTGTGACTATGGAGAAAAGGACACGAGTGCTAGAGCTACAGGTTCGTTGCCACAGAGCAGCATGGCAAGCGAAACGGCTGAGAACCCAAAAAAAAAAACCCACCAGATGGTCAGGGCAGAGAGTTCCATCTCATAGAAATTCGACGTGGCGAGAGAGGGAGAGAACGATAGGTAGAAGAAGATAGAGGGGGTGAAGGGAAACAACAGCTTACATAACTAACAGGTGTCAACTGTCACCAGAAGAACATGAAAGAGACAGCTAGAGAAAGAAGTCTGACAAAGTTAGACAGGGATGGGTAACACGAGAATGCTGTCTGAAAAGTATCCAACAACCACCTCCTCACATTACTGTTTTGCTGTCCACATCTATGTCATGCTCTTAAGCTGTTCAGACCATGCCTGCCACACACAATGCTTCACATTGCCATCAAATTCAGGACTGTGTCAGTCACCTGTTTTGTTTTCTCTCTGCCTGTGGACCCTAACAAGGTTCATTTGACTGGCAGAGCGTGCCAGG